AGCTCGGCAAGTCTGACCAGAAAGGGCCATAGCAATCACTTCTGGGGTCAACTTGCCTTGGAGAAGTAGAAGCCAAAGCCCCAGTGGAGGTGACCATCTATGCGACAGGGGGACAGAGCTAGGACCATGCCACTCAGTGGGGACACAGAAGACACAGGAATTGTGGAGTTGCTGTCTCCCACACTCCAGGGCTCAGATACCAGACAGAGTATCTTGGCTCCCACTGACTCCCTAACCCCAAAACCAATGTGCCACCTCAGCTTGCCCCCAGCACCAAGACACAGAAGTCTGCACCTAAGATGTCCTTCCAAAGGGGAGTGCAACTACCCTCCAACCTGCCATCACCACCAAAAGCTCCCCCTGCCCAGAAAGCAGCAGGAAAAGGGGGACGATGCAGATCTGATGGAGCCACACCAGCCTTGGAGCCTCCTCTGGCTGAAGACTGCCCGCAGGTGAGGAGCAGCCTCTAGACTTGCAGAGCCCACCTTCCCAGCCCGGCTGTCACTGACGGCTACCATCACAGCCTGGGATCACCAATCACTGCCCAGGTGACTGGTACAGCCCCGAACTCAGCACACCATGACTGACTTTTCTCTGTGTGTGTCTCCATGGGGATTCTCCAGGCGAGAATACTGGCGTGGGTTGTCATTTCCTTCTCCGGGTGATCTTCCCAATTCAGGGATCAAACCCTAGTCTTCTGCATTAGTAGGCGGATTCTTTACCAGAGTCACCAGGGAACAGCCCTGAGGCCTGTGAGCAACTTGGTGGGGGACAAGAACTTACTGGCCATTTATCACCAGGGCTTAAACTATACCATCAACTTCAGTAGCTGCTGCTGCTGCTATTGCTTTCTTGTTGCTATTATTGTTGTTGTTATTGTTCATTGCTTTTTTGTTGCTATTATTTTATTCAATAGCTTCAAATCACTGGAAGGCAATGCCCTAGATTGTGGGAAACTGGTCTTCTCCTATTCTGAGGTTCAGCAATGCCGATCCGGCCCAGGTGTGGAACAGCTCTGCTGCTCTTCCTTCTCCTCCTCCTCAGAAGCTCCTAGGAGTCACTGCTTTAAAAACAGGAGCTGCGGAAACATGGCCCAGAGCCAGGTGCTTAAGGCGCGTTATCTCCGGCTGTGGCCCGAGTCGGAGCTGAGCTCTGCAGAGCCCTTCCACTCCTCCCACCTGTCTCTCAGCTGGGCAGCCTCCGATGGGCCTCTCTGCATGACTGGGGCTTCCAGATGGACCCTGAATCCTCAGAGTCACATCCTGTGAGGCCCAGAGATGGAGGACTCACCAGTCAAGGGATGTGGGTGCCCACCCCCAGCAAGGCAAGGCTGGGATGGGCAAAAGGATACACTTGGGGCCCAGGGGGTAAGTCAAGTTCACTTTAAATCCCATTCTTAACACAGGCCTGGAGGGACAAGGCAGCTTATCAGTGGACACAGAAAACAATCTCTCAAGGAGGCGTCCTGGAAAAGGGTCACCCAGCCCCTGGGGCACATGAACTGTGAGGGAGCCACCCTTGAGTGGGACAGCTCAGGGTGCCATCGATGGGATTGCTGGTGATCATTTATGGAGGACTTCCTTTCAGCTGGTCACTTACATCAGAATGTTTTTTAGTTTCTTCCTTTCTTTATCCTTCATTAGAATGTAAGCCTGACTCACTTGCATCCCCGAACCCTCAGGTCGCCCTGAGTGGCTGCAGGGGACAGGTAACAGGGCTTCATCTGAACCCCCCCACTCTCCGCCGCCCCGCTGCATCCACATGCTCTGTCCACAGAGACTCTGTGTGTGTATGCTCAGTCACTTCAGTCGTGTCTGACTCTTTGCGACCCTACGGACTGTAACTCCTCTGTTCATGGGGATTCTCCAGGCAAGAATACTGGAGTGAGTCACCATGCCCTCCTCCAGGGGATCTTCCCAACCCAGGGATAGAACCAGCGTCTCCTGCATTTTCTGCATTGCAAGCAGATTCTTTACTGCTGGGCCAAGGGGGAAGCCCATCTATAGAGACTTGGGAAGCTCAAATCTCATTGCTAACACCCATCATGGCACCCATGTGCTCAGGTTGGGATTTCCCAACATATAACTCACTGCCAGTGCTTGATAAACACTGAATGAATCAATGAATGAATGAACAAATAAAGGGATGTATTTCCAGGAGTTCTGATTAACAAAACAGTAGCCTATTCAAGCCACTCAGGGTCACTCGGAGGTCACTGAAGACCATCCTGAGAACACCTTGAAACTTACCTACCTGCATGGTGACAGAGATGCAGGAAGGCACACACAGCAGGAATGGGGTGATGCTGTGGTCAGCCAATCTGCCAGCACAGTGGTGGGGCCTGAAGATGTCCCAACAGCTCCAGGACCCTGTTCCACCCCTCCCTCTAAGTCCTCTTGGTAATGGTGGTTGTCCAGGCACAGTCCTCGGGAGATGGCAGCCTCAGGACATCCCACTTGGCAGGAGGGGCTACAGGATGCCAGGGGTCCCTTGCCCTTCAGAGGTGAGGCAGGATCTCTAATTGGAAATCAGACTGCAAACAGCCTTGGAAATCACCGGTGCTTCCACATCCCCAATGATTGAAGAGAAAACTGAGGCAAGAAGCAGTTAAAAAATGGGTCCAAAATGACACAACTAGTAGGTGGTGAACCAGGCCTTGAACTCAGGGCTCTTTTATGCTCTTAAAAGTGAAAGTGTTAGACACTCAGTCGTATCTGACTCTTTGTGAACCCATGGTAACCTGCCAGGCTTCTCTGTCCATAGGATTCTCCAGGCAAGAATACTGGAGTGGGTTGCCATGTCCCTCTCTGGGGGATCTTCCCAACCCAGGGATTGAATCTGGGTCTCCTGCATTGCAGGCAGATTCTTTTACTGTCTAAGCCACTAGAGAAGCCTGTTTGATGCTCTTATCCACCATCTAACACCTGTTTCCCAATCTGGACAATGGGGAGGCTAGACCAGATGGGCTCTAAGGTGTGTTAGATTTGGGCTGATTTCAGGGGAAGCCAAAAACTCATCTCTGCTGGCCATCGTCACCCTACTTCCCTTTCTTCTCCTCTCACCTTCTAAGCGTCTCTCCTCTTCCCAAGCCCAGGACACTCTGCTCCACAGAACAGGGAAGGGGGGGCAGCACTTTGGCCTTTGGTGGGTGAGGGGAGGACTTGGGGTGGGGATGGGGATGAGGGGCATAAACAGGGGAAATGGAGCCTGCCCATCCTGCCCATCCACACCTCCGACCGCCCGAATGCCAGGGGAAGTTCACCCAGAGTTTACAACCCTCCTTTGTCACAGAGCGCTGCATGGAGCCATCAATCACGTCTTTAATTTATCCGTGTCACTTTCCAGAGGAAGGCCGCCCTGCGAGCAGCCAGTGGTGCTTCCTTTCTCACCCACTAGATGAAGATTTCACCTAATTGGTCCATGTTAAATCACTCCCAGGATTGCAACGCACCATCAACACAGCAGTGGCTGGTGGTGGGGATGTGCTGGCCCCTCCCTGCTGTGGGCAGGAGAGTCCACAAGGGTCTCTCTGCCTGGAAGCCTCTTGAAGGAGCCTCTGGAAGGCCTGGAGAACCCAGAGAAGGGCCTCCTTGAAAGGGGGGCTGGGGCTCATGGATGGGGAGAGGGCAGGCCAGGAAGGAAGAAGGAGGTGGAAGGAAGGAACATGGAGGATGCTAGAGTCACCTGCCCGCACCCGCACCCCCGCCACTCTCCCCATCCCTGCATGCCCAGGGGAGTCAGGCATCTCTAACCACCTCTACCCTTCCTATGGGTATGGGCTGGGTCCCAGCCTCTGTCTCTCTCCCTGTAGCTTCGTGTGCATGGAGATCCAGAGGGCTGCATCCCAAGCCCTGCTCTGCATTGCCTGGCAATGATCCTCAACTGGAAATGCTGGAAGCCAAGCCATCTGGGAAGCAAAGCTGTGCCTGACACCTTTCCTCCTGCCCATATTTCTCCTAACCCATTAGGCTTTGTACACACTGTTCCCTCTGTCTCCAATGCTGTTCCTGCTTCATCTGCTCAGCAACCTCCTGGTTGTCCTGCTGGTCCCAGCTCAAACACCACTTACACAAAGGGGATCTTTCTAACTCCCTTGGGCAGGAAAGGCAGCCTGTCCCTCCTCCGCCTGGCCTTCCTGGAGCCCAGCAAAGGCTTCCGGGGCCTCCTGTCTATACTCTCCTGCCCTCATCCAGATGCAAGAGGGTCTCTGAGCATCTTCTGAGCTGCAGAGGTTCTGGGACTGCATGTTTATCATTTTTATACGCCTGCCCAGCAGGCTCAGCAAACAGCTGGGGCTCTATGAATCTCTTCAGAATGAATGAATGAATGAATGAACATGATTTACCTTAATGCACAGCCTCAGGTAACCCACAGGCCAAGTCATATTCCCAAAACATACTGAAGGGCTCTCTTGGGCAGTTACCAGCCCATGAGATCTCCCCCTAATATGACATTAATCAGGGGCTGAGTGGGGAACTCAGCACCAGAACACATAAGACCAGAAAGAGCTTCAGAGATAAGCTGTCCTCATTTAAATGATGAGCAAACGCAGGCCCAAGCAGACTGTCCTTGGTACCCAGGAGCCCCATTACCAGTGTGCTGTGTGCTAAGTTGCTCAGTTGTGCCTGACTCTTTGCCACCCCATGGACTGTAGCCCACCAGCCTCTTCTGTTCTTGGGATTCTCCAGGCAAGAATACTGGAGTGGGTCGCCATGCCCTCCTTCAGGGGATCTTCCCGACCCAGGGATCAAACCCATGTTTCTCACATCCCCTGCATTGGTAGGTGGGTTCTTTACCACCAGCACCACCTGGGAAGCCCCAGGAATAGAGTCACACACAATCCCAGGGGCCTGAGGAGCCCTGAATCCCAGCAAACCTCCAAGAGGCTGGTCTCACTGGTCCCTTTGGAAGCCTCTGGAGGCGAGTAAGAGGCGCCCTGGATTCCAGTCCCTACCTCCCCATCCTCCCCAGAGGCTGCTGTCCGCATAGCTGGCACATACCTTGCGCTTCTTGGCGCGGCCCTCGGCCTGCAGGGTGCGGGTGCAACGCTGCACGCACTCGGAGAAGCTGAGGTTGCTGTGGTCGGCGCTGTAGTCGAGGTCGGCCAGCCGTGCCAGGGACAGGATGTAGTTACAGGCGATCCTCAGGATGGCCAGCTTGGACAGCTTCTGCCCATACGAGTAACACGGCACCTGGTAGGTGAGAAGGCGTCAGCAGGGGCTGCCCGGTCTCTACTGAGAAACGGCCCAGGGGGCACCTTGGCCAGGAAAGTGTGGGGCCATTCATGCCGCTGCTGGGGAGGGAACAGTTGGGCCACAGAGGTGGTTTGTCTGATCTTTCCACCCGGATTTTATTCCCTGTTCTAATCACCTGCTGTTTACACCCACACACAACCCCTGGGGGGCATCCATGTTCCCAGACTATACAGGAGGAAAGCCAGGCTCAGCTCTTGCCCGAATGTCAGTAATCACGAAGCACAGTGCGCTTCCCCCTGGGACAGAGTTCCATCCCCTGTGCTCCCTGAGAAGGAATCTTGGACAGAACAGATGTTTCTTGCTCTGAGAGTCTGTTCTCTCATTCAGGGACACCTGTCTTGCTGGACACTTAGGGTCTGACAACAAACAATAACTGGATTCTACCATCAGAGGAGTTGCTCTCAAGACTGAGGTTATGGACCTCGCTGGTGGTACAGTGGGTAAGCATCCACCTGCCAGTGCAGGGAACATAGGTTCAATCTTTGGTCAGGGAAGATCTCACATGCCATGGAGCAAACAAGCCCGTGTACCACAACTACTGAGCCTCAGCTCTAGGGCCGGTGAGCCGCACCCACTGAAGCCTAAGTGCCGAGAGTCTGTGCTCTGCAACAAGAGAAGCCACCGCAATGAGAAGCCCGTGGACTGCAACTAGAGAGTAGCCCCTGCTCGCTGCAACTAGAGAAAGCCAGCGCATAGCAGCAAAGACCTAGGACAGCCAAAAATTAACTAACTAATTTTTAAAAAGAGGGATGCTTTAACATAAAAGCAGAGCTAGGCACCCAGACTCTCAGACCAGAGGAAAGTGCCAGTGCTCAGCTGGGAGGCCCATACATGATTGGATTATGCTTTTCTCTTTTTCTTTCTGACCTCTGGACCTGGGAAGCTGCTGGGCATACAACAGGTGCCTAATAAGTACAGCTCCAACCAGACTTGACATCCTTGACATTCATCACTGACTTGTTCAGTCACTCAGTTCAGTCATGTCTGACTCTTTGTGACCTCATGGACTGCAGCACACTAGGCTTCCCGGTCCTTCACTATCTCTGGGAGTTTGCTCGAACTCGTGTCCTTTGAGTCGGTGATGCCATCTAACCATCTCATCCTCTGTCTCCCCCTTCTCTTCCTGCCCTCAATCTTTCCCAGCATGAAGGTCCTTTCCAATGAGTCGGCTCTTCGCATCAGGTGGCAAGTGGATAATCACAAATGGCACAGCGATTTGCATCAGGTGAAGAGATGGAGTCTCTAACATCGTCCACCAATGTTTCCACTGCTTGAGCAAAAAGCTACATGGACTGCAGCACAGCTCTGTGTGGAAACATGGAGAGTGCATGCTAAGTTGTTTCAGTCGTGTCCAACTCTTTTCGACCCCATGTACTGTAGCCCACCAGGCTCCTCCACCCAGGCAAGAATACTGGATGGGTTGCCATGCTCTCCTCCAGGGGATCTTCCCAACCCAGGGATCGAAACTGAGTCTCTTTCGTTTCCTGCATTGGCAGGCAAGTTCTTTACCACTTGTGCCATGTGGGAAGCCCCCGTAATGTGGAGATGTCACCACAAAGTCCACCTGTTGGTTAGATAGGTGCTAACTGATAGAGCTGCTCTGATGCGTCGTTCACCTAAATGGCTAATCGTGTATACCCAGCAACCAAGGCTGTGGCATCCTCCTCCCTACGGCTCTCCAGAAGCTATATGCGGCGTCTATCCCCAACACTGATACCTGGTACTGACTAACCCTCATCTCACAGTGAGTGGGGCCCCCACGGCAGGATCATTCAACACACACATGAGGCACTGTTCTGGACCAGTGGTTCTCAATCAGGGATAATATCATCCCTCAGCAGCAGTTGGCAATGTCTGCAGATGTTTTTAAGTTTTATTTATCTATTTTTGGCTGTGTTGGGTCTTCATTGCTGCCTGGGCTTTTTCGCTAGATGCAGTGAGCAGAGGCTACTCTCTAGTTGCTGTGCACGGGTTTCTCATTGTGGTGGCTTCTCTTGTTGAGGAGCATGGGCTCTAGGGCACACAGGGTTCATTAGTTGCGGCATGTGGGTTCAGTAATTACAGCTCCTGGGCTCTAGAGCATAGGCTCAGTAGCTGTGGCGCTCGGGCTTAGTGGCTCCAATGGCATGTGGAATCTTCCTGGACCAGAGATCAAACCTGTGTGTCCTGCATCGGCAGGTGGATTCTTTACTACTGAGCCACCAGGGAAGCCCTGCAGACATTCTTGGTCATCACTAGTGGGTAGAGACCAGAGAGGCTACTAAATGTCCTACAGTGCTCAGGATCCTACAATGTGACCACAACAAAGAATGACCTGGCCCCCAATGTCAACAGTGCTGTGATCAAGACAGCTAAACAAGAGAGCTGCTTCAGGGACTTCCCTGATGATCTAGTGGTTAAGAATCCACCTTGTGATGCAGGGGACATGGGTTCGATCCCTGGTTGGGGAATGAAGATCCCTCTTGCCTTGGAGTGACTGGGACCTCGTGCTGCAGCTACAGAGTCCACGCACCAGAACAAAAGATCCTGCAGGATGAAACTAAGACCTGACACAACCTAATTAATTAATTTTTTAAAAGAGAGAGAGAGTTGCTTCAGATGCAGAGGTTGCTTTAAATGCATCCACAAATGGAGCCCATGTTAAAGCTCACTGTGTCCAAGAGCTTTCCCTGATCTGGCCCCCAGCCCTACACCAGGGGCTACGGGTACCTGCCCTTGATGGTGCTCTAATTGCCCCCATCTGTTCTTAACCCCTGATGACTGTGACTCATTTAATGGTCAGTCTCCTTATAAGCTGTTGGGGGAAGGTCTCTGTATGCAGAGCCTAACACAGATCCTGCCCATCACTGGCCTCCAAAGGATTTGTTGAATGAGGGACTGAATGAACAAATGAATGTTCTCCCCTCTCTCTGTTTTTTTGTGAGGAAGGCACACCGTGTGGCTTAAGGGAAGTTCGTTCCCCGACCAGAGATCAAACCCATGCTCTTGGCAGTACAAGCTCAGAGTCCTAACCACTGGACCACCAGGGAATTCTCCAAAACTGTTCTCTCTCTAAGGACGAAGATTTAGCTGTTTGGTGTGGAGGTGAAGCTTGTACATCCTTTGGTCACCTGGGCTAATTCCTGGCTCTAGACACAAACCCTGGGCAAGAGACATGATCATTCTGGGCCTGGGTGTCCTCGTTATATCACTAACAGGCCTGGCCTCACAGTGTGGGAAGAACTAAAGGAGACGGCGCATGGGCTACACTGCCCGTCAGGGGCATTATGTCCATGCGTATGGCAGAGTGTCCTAAGAAGGGCTCCAGAGAGAGTAAGAAGCAGGAGATCTGGAGCCAGGAAGTAGCGCCTGCTCATCCCTTACCCGCCCTGCCCCTCCAGGGGTCCTGAGACCACAGCCCAGGGCCCAGATGAGGTTTGCAGTCACCTTTCAACATCCTCCAGCAGCCATGGACTCGCCCCTCACCAGGCTAGGAAACCCAGGGAGGGGCAGGGAGAAAACAGAGGGACTGTCAACTCCCCCAACTCCCATACATTGCCCCCCACCCCCAAGCTCTGACCACGCCACCAAATCCATCTGAAAAAAAGGCCTGCAGAACAATGCACTTTGCCTGTTCTCAACCAGAGTCCAGAGAATCCTGCTTATCAGCCTGAACAAATAAACAAGGTCTGTGGAACAAAAAGTTTCCTGGGGGTCCTGGGACAGCGGCAGGGGTCTCAGGAGCAGCCCACTCGGGAGCAGGGCTCTCAGAAGGGATCTGCTCATGGGGATCCAGGGTCATTGTGGGACCACAGAGCAACAGATGAGGTCAAGGCCAACCTAGGAGCTCCGGTGCCAAGTTCTGAGCCAGTTTTGTCACTCTGCCCCACTGCTTCTCTCAAAGTCCAAGTCTAACAAGAAAACCATTTATTGAGCTCTGGTTGTTTACCTGGCCCTGTGGTCACTATTCATAGGTAGTTTTAGCCCATTGAAACATTCCCCCAAATAAAGACTATTACCCCATCTACACACAAGGAAACAGAGAGGAGACATATTGGGCCTCAGGTCACTGATCTAAGACCTGACTGGTGCTACAAGCTTGTGTATCTATCAGTCAGGAAGGCCACCAGGCTCTCTGAGCTCCTGCTGCCTGAGGTGGCTGTATATGGGACACCAAGGATCCTTTTTGGCAGCTGACTCTGACTCCTCCTGCTCTCCAGGGCGGGTGTTCCTCAGCTCACCTGGTTAATTCCAGGTCCTTCTCATGCCCACGTCCCAGGATGCAGCAACCAGGCCCCCCAAAAAAACTCAGCTCAGAGCACCCTGGCCTAAGGCAGATCTGATTCTGGGAGGTCAAGGTAAGGCAAAAAGAGCTGATCTGAATCCCAAACAGTAGGATGTGACTGTGGGCAGGTACCTTCACCTCTCTCTCAGTTTTCTTATCTGGAAGGTGGGAATAACATCTGTGTACCCTCCACGGCTGCTGGAACCAGGTCACCCCCTGCTGTTTCTCGCAGTCTATTAAGGCCAGGCAAAGGATGGCTGTTGTGAGAGGTATTTGATGCCCAGGGAGTTTAAGCACTTCCAGCATCTCTCAGCTGATGAAAGAGGAGCTGGGATTTGGACTCACACCTTAGCTGAGCTCTTTCCAATCAGCCAGAAGCAAGTGCTTGGGGATGTGGATGTACCTGCGTGTGTGTGTGCTGAGTCACTTTAGTCATGTGCGGCTCTCCGTGACCCTATGGACTGTGACCTGCCAGGCTCCTCTGTCCACAGGATTCTCAAGGCAAGAACACTGGAGTGGGCTCCCATACCCTTCTCCAGTGGATGTATCTTGTTGTTATTGTTCAGTCACTCAGTCATGCCTGACTCTTTGGAACCCCATGGACGGCAGCACGCCAGGCTTCCCTGTCCTTCACTATTTTCCAGAGTTTGCTCAAACTCATGTCCATTGAGTC